AGTATTTATCATTAAAGTTGAAATAGTTAATAATTTAATCTATTTCTTGTAAAATTGCCTTTTTAGGTTATTTTATTTTTTTATTTACTATTTTGTAATTGCTTACATCCTGCCGGTGTGCAGGTTCAGGTGATCCTTCTCACCTCAAGTAAATATAAGCTATTCTAGATGCTATATAAAAAACAGTTGAATCTAACTTAAAAATAGCAACATACAATGTGTTTCCAAGTGAAAATAGCCCTTGCTCCCCGTTGCTGCACCAATAAAAGTCAGCCACTGTTTATTAGTAGTATGGTAACACTCGTGATGCACACATTTATTAGTGTCAACCATTATACACATTTATATAATGATAAATTATATATTATAGATTTATAATAGCATTAAAAATATGTATAATATTTAAAAAACAATAATGTAATTAGAGTCATACTTCAAATACGACATGATCGGTTTGTCATTGTAATTAGCATTTAGAAATGAACCTTTATTAGAGAAATGAAGTAATAGCTGATTAATAAATTCTATAATATTCGTATACACAGTGGATTATATTAAACAACGCCTAAACAAATATTGTTTTCGCAACTTTACTCATCATGTAATAATTGTGTTTGAAGAACTTCATGTAATTAAAATTAACATACATTCATTGACTGATGGTATTTCTTTTTACTTTTTCGCTGGCAATATAATCTCATTCTTTGAACATCTGTAATATCTGTTTTGCCTAAAGAATACTTTCTACTTCAATAACTACAAAGATTTATAGAAACTACGAATAATATAGAAATTATTTCAATAAACTTATGTTTCATACACGGCGCAAATGCAGCATTTGATTTATTATTTTCATTTAAATTATTTACGGGGGACAAGGTAAAATATTCTTCTGATTCAGACATTTTTCATTGAATCAAGATTTGTACTACGATGTAACTTTAAAATGTTTATTTATCTATGTTACGTATACGACAGATCTCTATTCACATACACGACGACTAATCACAATCGACCCGTGTAGAAATATCATCGAAAGCGAATGACGTATCATTGGCACTCGACTCTTATCTTATCGACTCTTATCTGCCGTAACGCACTTCCGTTGCATTTGTACGGATTTACAGCCTAGTCGCGCCTAAAAAAGTTTTACTTCAAACGTTTGTTATAAAAAAATAGAATTTATGTTTGTTATACTTCTGACTGATATACAGCATGTATGAAACACTTCTTATAACAACTTTGAAGTAAAAGTTGAAGTAACCTTTGGATTGAATGAACCCGATTTCAAATAATATTTTTGCCTTCCAGTTTGCGGCCTGAACAAAGGAGATGCCTTTTCTATTACGAGTCGGAGCTGGAGCACAGCCCTGTGTACTCTTTCGGATTGTGTTTGGCCGAATGCAGGATGAGAGTTGCTAGAACTTCCTGCGGTTGCATACCGCACTTCTACAGAAAGCTAAACGGTTAGTCGGAAATGAAAACTTCCATAATAGGATTTTGGCTTTTCAATGTATTTTATCTATATTTAGTTGAAGTAGCAGCGTATGGCATCGTTGAATATTTTCAAAAATTTCTAGTTGTTGCTTAAATTTTATAAGAAATTCTAATCCTTATTGAAAAATAACTAGAAAAGACTGGTAGTTGTTGCCATGGTACAGATATAAAAGTCGTTGCAACAGTTAAAATAAACGATGAAGTATCTTTATTCGAACAAATTTCGATTTCTTTCAATAGTAACTGTTACTTGTATACCGTCAGATTTCTTTGCTTGTTATTTTGATGTGATTTCAACATTAGTAGTTAATTACCAGTACCAGCAATTAGTTTTTGCAAAAATAATTTATCCCCTTCATAACGATGATTTGTTTTCAAAACTGTGTGTTGGGTACGATTGTGACATTTTTTATGGGTACGGTTTAGGGTTTGTCGGTTTTTAAAAACCGTTTTTTGGCAATATTATGGGATTCGAAAACCGGTTTTTTAGTGAAAAAAGTCGGTTTTCGCTGTATAAATAGAAAATGACAAATATATCCAAATATAAAAGTTAGATGAAATCGTTTTGATTCTTGAAATCATATCGGTTCAATAGCATTTGATATCTTATAAGTCTGCAATGGTTCCCAGAAATGTTTTGTATATATTAATTTAGATTTTTATACCAGTGTATATATTAATTTAAATCAGTGTGACTTCTTCTTGAAGAAGTTACTTCCACTACTCAAACTTAAAAAAAGAGTTTTAAACCCTAGAAGCCACAAATTAAAGAACAAAAAACTTAGAATTATTATATCAGGCTTTGAAAATAATTAAGCATAATTTTGTCGCTAGTATGAGAGTATTTTCTATTTCAAAAAGTTTTGTGAGTAAACAAAGGGCACATCTAAGTAGCAATTCGATAGACGTTCTCAGTTTTTTGAAATCACATTTTATTAATCAAAAAACAATTAGAATGTTTGAAATTAATTAATTAAAATGTCTCGGAACAGACAATATCCGAGTTTATCTTAATTGTTTTTAAAACTAAAATTGATATTAACAAGTATGTATCAACATGTATCTAATATTTTTTTACTTTTATTTTATAATTTAGTGAATTTTTTTATTTAGAAATGTATTATTTTTATTTATTTGGAAACTTTTCATTCACTATCATAACAATATTTTCATTCTTATATGTGAAAATGATGCATGAATAACGAATAATTATTTTTCAAAGTTATTTAATCAAGATAAACTATTATTATTTAGTTCTACTAATGGAAATTAAAATAATTTTGTTTACTATCTTTAAAATTGAACAATAAATAAATACAGTCATATTCTGCTCTAAATTACACTGAATTTGCAGATAAATTACAGAATATCCAAGCAAAAATTTATTTTCTATATAAAATTCGAAAACCGGTTTTCTAGTAAAATTAAAATTCGAAAACCGGTTTTCTGAAATGTCGGTTTTTGTATAAACCCTAGTACGGTTGTAACAAGTGTTTTTCTCTATTTTGAATGTAGATTAAATCTTAATTAAGACAGGAAAAAGCAGTAGCAAAAAAAACTTTATGTTTGGATTGTGGTAGCTCATATTCTGAAAGTAGGGTTGGCGTAAATTGGATCAAGTGCCAAGGCCTTTCCTTGTATAATTTTTAGCAATCCCTCAAAGCCCTTTACTTGTATAATTTCTAGCAATCGAAAAAATGGTTGCACATTATCAACGATTGATCAATTTTAAACGTAATAAAATATATAAAATATAAAATTAATCGATAATAATTACGCAAACCGAATTATTATTATAGTTCAGTTTTAAATTATCTATCAAAAATTACACACCTGCACAATTCTGTTTACTACAACGTCCTGTGGGACAGTTGCTATGACAATATTATCCAGGACGATTTACATGTCCAATCGAAATATAAAAATATGTTAATATCGTTGAAATTCCTATTGACAGTAGCCTGATACTACTTGCCCCTGTTACAAAACAAATAGTCATTTGCTTTCCTAATTAAAGTTTTGCTGCTATGAAGATCTTACTTAAACAAACAATGTTGATTATTTTTATGTATTGATAATATTAAATAAGTTAAATTATAACTTTTGTGTGTAATGTCTTGTCTGTTCATTTTCAGATGAAAAAGTTTGTGATTACAAAGGATGGAACTGCCTGAGATCGATACAGGGTGAGTGAGAAAATAAGTTCGACAAAGTAAAACAAGAGGAATAAGTTGAAAAATACAGATTTTCTAGATATTATATACAAAATATATACAGTCAACCCTCCTCTAACACGGTACTCCTATAACACGGTTTTTGTTCAACAGCTCATAAGTTCCTTCTGCGCAACCTATAAATGACACTAGTAACTGAATATTGTTGAAAAAAAGTTTAATATAAATTTTATCTTCGACTATTGTATATTTATATAATAAACATTCCAGTTTATAGAATAGCTGTTTACGGGATCGGATTTAGTAGCGTCAAAGACCTTTCACAGAGCATTTATAATTTGTCTTTATACTTATACATGTTCAATTTTAAAATAAAAAAATCTCAACTCTTCTGAGTCGAATATATATAGTGTATATACTATATATATTCGACTCAAAAGAGTTGAGATTTTACTATATCTGTTACTGGCCATAAGACAAATTACCACTTACACCTAGTTATTTCATTATTTCAAAAACGTTGTGTGATATTGTCTTTTAAAACAAAATGTTTAAACAATCGTTTTTTTAATTAAGTGTAGATACAAAAATAAGGCAAATTAAGTTTTAAAATCTGTGTAAAAATTATGCGGTACCTTTCAGACAGTACCATATATTACCATCGTGCATACTTTTATATGTTCTCAATAAAAATCTAATCATTAAATATGCATTTTTCAAATATTCATTGTTGCACCTCAAATCGTCATTTTTAACGTTCTAAGTATAATTATGATGTCGTTACAAAAATCGTCATTTTTAACGTTCTAAGTATAATTATGATGTCGTTACAAAAAATGTTTGGATTGACTTTTAATTGAGTGATGTAAAATCTCAAAACACAAACATAACAATATTCATGTACGAAATTGAATATTTCATATCGACCTATTTAATAAAACGAATGAATATTTCTTAATAAAATATACACATTAATGTTCACTGGCACCGTCCCTTCAAGAATATTGTTGTTAATATCATTGCTTTTATCTCAAAACTTTGGAAAGACTTGTTTGGAAACTATATTGTTGATCAATTAGTGAAATATAAATTCTATATTACAATATTCTGACATAAATGAAACAAAAATATATTATTGCTACCATAGTAGCCTTGATAGGTAGATTTGATCCAAGTGACCGACAAGGCAAACAAGAGACTACTAAAATTTCTAAACCCATCTCAAAATTTCTGTCCATTACCATAAATTATAATTTTTCAAAATTTCTTCATAGCATCATGATTTAATAGTTTTTTTTAATTTCATTAAACATTATATATATCTTTAACATGAACAAGCGTTACAAACAACCTATGATGGAGGCTCTTTTTTCCGCTATCAATTTACTGGGCGATCCAAAAGGTAAAATCAGTTAGCATTAAAATATGTAACGATTAAAATTATTTCCTAATATTGAGTGAACTTGCAGGAGCCCGATGGAAAGACGTCCTACGAGTTATGTCATCCGCCAACAAGAGCGAAGCAGTCTTAGGACAACTCAAGAAAACAGTATACAAGGGCGTGGAATTGGGATACCTCGAACTTTCTAGTAAGTAATAAATCTTTGAATCTTTGAATATGAATTATTCTGCCTAACGTCCGCCATCAGAACTGAACTCAAATGATTCTTGAATACTAATAGTCTTATTGTTAGTGTTACACATGTGGGAAGACTGGGTACAGTAGTGACAGTCGTCAAAACAGATAAAAAAAATCTGACGTAACTAACTAAAGATAAAATAAGAAAGAGAAAGGGAAAAATCAATATAGGTAATGAAACATTTCACAAAAAATTCTTGTTAAATTTGTTTAAAAAATTAAGTTTTGTTATATATTATTTTATTTTATTTATAAGTATGTTTGAATGTTTATGTTGTGCTGTGTTACATATTATTATATATTATAGTTATTAACGACAATAAAAGTTGTTATAAACCATTTTGTTTATAACTATTGTTTTCAACCTATTTTGATACATGCCACTGCTGACCCCAGTCGCTGTTACAACCGTCCCTCGGATGTGGACGGTTGTGCCACCAGCTCATTTTTTGTATGTTTGGATTTTATGACTATTACGTCGTATTTAATGAAAGTATTTCAGTATTTCCCATATTTCAGAAGAAAATCGAATTCGTCTCACTGACAAGGTCCTAACACGTGGGTACCTTTTGGAACCGGAGATGGTGCTGGCGGGCAGAGCGAGGCGCGCCCAAAAAAACATTAAAAGGCGAAAGTCACGGAGGAGTCCAAAACGAAGGCCAAAGCGCGGGTCAAAGGCACCAAAACGCAGGCCAAAGCGCCGGGCAAAATCATCACAACGTAAAGGGAGAGGGCGTAGACGTGGACGCTTATCGCGACGTGCCGGCTCAATACCGGCCAAAAAGTATTACGACTTAGTTGGTGACACGTCGAACAAATCACGGTCGACATCCCCGACTTCCTCTACCCCATCATCAAGCGTACTGTCAGAAACTCCATCGAGAACACCATCTGAAACAAGTTCAAGCACTCTATCCCAGACACCTTCACGGTGTCCATTTTGCGATTACAAATTTGATTAAATCCATATATAATGCTGAACGACTCAAATTGTGAAAATAAAAGAAAAAAAATTATCAAGACACCCCCGTAAAAACGTTTATATAAAGTTTTTATATAAACAATAATGTTTCATTATTTAATTGTGATTTTGGGCTCTACAGGGCCAGGGAAAACTAAACTGTCCAATAAAATTGCCACAAAGTTTAAGGGAGAAGTCATTGGGGCTTATTCTATGCAAGTTCACAAAGGTTTAGATATTGTAACAGCAAAGGCTACAAAAGAAGAACAATCCCAGCCGTACATCATTTATTGGATGTGGCTGAACCCGGAGAGACTTTTACTGTTGTTTATTATAAGAATAAGGCTTTGAAAATTATATCAAACCTCCTATCAAAAAACATCATACCAATAATAGTAGGCGGTACAAACTACTATATAGAATCCATTTTATGGAAAGTTCTAATCGATCCACCTACGAACAAAAACCTAGATGCTCCAAGACTCATCTTTAACAGATGAAATTATATCCCCCGAAGACAGTTCTTCAGATTCTGATGACAACATTTCATCGAGTGCAATAAAATTTAAACAATCAAGTCATTGTGATGTTAAATTTAGTTTAGACGATGACAAGAAATGGGAGTTTATGTCTGGTGCTGAGTTGCATGATATTTTGAAGAAGGTTGGCAGTGTTTCGGCGCAACATTTGCATCCTAATAATAAGAGGAAAATTGTGAGATCTTTGCAAATTTATCTACACACCGGTAAAACCCACACGGAAATTTTGTTAGAACAAAGAAATCCTAAACAAGGCGGTTGTGCCATTGGTGGCCCTTTACATTTTGATAATGTTATTTTATTCTGGCTCAGATGTGAACAGGAAGTGTTAGACAAACGTTTAGATTCCAGAGTGGACAGTGTGATGCAAGAAGGTCTTATTGATGAATTAAAAGAATTTAGAGACTTATATGTCCGGACACAAGATGCTCCTGATTTCACTTTAGGCATTTTGCAGACGATTGGTTTGAAAGAACTAACACCATTTTTAGAATGTGTTGAAAAAACTGAAAACGTTGATGAACAACACAAAAATAAATTGCTTAAAGAGTGTTTGGATAATCTAAAACTTGTAACCAGAAGATATGTTCGAAAACAAAACCGTTGGGTGAGGAATAGATTTCTTGGATACAAATACCGACAAGTGCCTCCTTTGTACGGATTGGATACCAGCAATCCTTTCAAATGGAACGAGATGACCAGAGATCCTGCTTTCCACAGTATAGAAAGTTATCTTTCTAATCAACAACCAAATGTTGAACCTTTGGAACAAATTGTCAACCCGAATGCAGCTGATGACCTGAATCCAGAAGTTACTCATTTTTGTGAGGTTTACCAAAGGATTTTTCTAGGCGATTACCAATGGCAATTGCATACAAAGTCCAAAAAACATCAACGTGTTGCCAAATCGAAGGCGAAACTCCAAAAAGTTGATGGAATAAAAACAGAATAATTTTTTTTGTAAATATTTTTATAAGTTTGTACTTTTTGTTATATGAATGTAAAATACAGTACTAATTATATAATATAGTTTTATTCCATCGGAATTATACTGATACTTATGTTTTCTGCAATAAATATTCTCATAATAGTCATAATAAATCATTTGTGATTTAAGAAAAATTACTTATTATGATCAAATGTTGAGTAAACAAAATTGAATCATCAAATTTCTTTTAACGTTCAAGCAATTGTGTTATCTTATCTAAATACTAATTGTAAAAAAAGCTTTGCGAGATATTGTTGCAACAAACGATTTAGAACTTCTGATACATACTTCTGAATTGCCTTTTGCTTTTCAATGCTAAGAAAAATTCGTAAACCATATAAACATATTTTTTTACAAATACGTAGCTTGTATCCAAATATAATGTTTACTATTTTAAATATTCCAAAGAATTTCAAACCATTTTTAATTTACATTTCAAACAAATAGAAATTCAAATCCATGTTTAATAAATGATTTATTAACGTGATGTTCAACGTGTAATTTTGATTATATATGACTTGAATTCTATATGATATTGTTCTTTCCAGATGAATTGTTATATCTGCGATTTCCAAATAAGACGAGAATATGTAAAACTTGTGCACCAAATTGCGATGATTCGTTTTTCTACACACGAGGAAAGGTAACAAAATATATTTATTAACTGATAATAACAATTATTAAATTCTGTATTTCATAATTCTTATTTTTGTAATACAAATTTGAAAAATACATGCATACAATCCTCACCTTCCTACCACACTTCCCAATTTCATTAATCATTTTTAACCTAATCAATAACTGGTTAATTGTCGACCTTTTGTTAACGTTTTTCACTGAATTTCTATTCTTTTTAAAGTTTAATGAGAAGGCTGAATTGGATATTTCATTCGGTGATGCACATAATATAGCTTAATAATTAATAAAGAAAGATACGTGCGCAATGTTCCATCTTACTAACTTGATGTAAGAGAATCGCATTTTTGTTTCAATTTTTATTCCTATGTATAACATAAATTTCCAATTTACTAATGCCTAGCTCTCTCTAATACAGACATTTAATATTTCTCAATAAAATACCAAACTTGCACGAAATATATTTGAATAAAACTTTTAAATAAAACCATTTTATCATTTCTTATTTATTGATGGTGAAGAACTCAAAATTTAGCATGACATATCTGTATTATATTGTCATGTCTATAAAAATTATAATTCAGTATGCATTTATCAAAATCAGATCTCTGAGACAGTTTAGAAGTTCAGATTAATTTTTTCACATACAACCATTCGTTTCTGAAACTAAAATGAAGAAGAGAAACATCTAAACTTCGTTTTGATTATTTCGTGATTTTAACAACTAACTCATTTTGCTTTCACTCGAAACATATGCATGCACTAACTCCATTTTTAAAAATTATTATTATATTATAGATACGTAACACGAAAAATTTTGCAAAAAATATTAATGATAAACAAATCTTTATAAAAAATGATAATTTAATATGCGTATGTCAAATGCTCATCTTCTCATTGTGTCATTTTTTCGAAGTAAAACTTCTTTAGGCGCGACTAGGGTGTAAATCCGTACAAATGCAACGGAAATAGCGTTACGCCCGAATTGAACGTCATTCGCTCTCGATGAGATCATTTCTATACGAGTAGATTGTGATTAGTCGTCGTGCATGTGAATAGAAATCTGTCGTTGCTATGCGTACCGATAGCAACAAGGAAATCGGCATAGATAAATAAACATTTTAAAGTTACATCGAAGTACAAATCTTGATTTAATGAAAAATGCCTGAATCAGAAGAATATTTTACCCTGTCCCTTGAAAATAATAAAACAAATTAAACATTTGTGCCGTGTACTAAACGTAAGTTTATTGATTAGAAATTATTTCTATATTATTTGTAGTTTCTATAAAACTTTGAAGTTATTAAAATGAAAAATAATTTTTAGGCAAGACAGTTATTACAGCTGTTCAAAGAATGAGATTATATCGGCAGCAAAAAAGTAAAGAAAAAGTGTGAAGCTTCCGCGCACGTTTTTTAACACTTTTACCATCTTTTCTTAGTTTTCTAATCATTTTGTTAGTTATTTCTATAACTAACTTATTTTACAAAAAGTTAATAATTAAATCTTATATTTCCATTACTAAAATATATTATAACTAATTATTTCCGTTCTAAGTTCTAAGAAATAAATAATTCATTAATTTTACATTCAGCCGTCGAAGTCAAAATTCATATCCAATACCTTCCATAAATTTTGTTTGGCAACACCAGCAGTTTCTTACAAAACCTTTATTTATTCATGATAATAGTGAAATATATGTGGATATGTTTATCAAATAAAAATCATGTTTTATTTATTATGTTTGATATATTACAGCAGATTGTACCAAACTGGGCTTTAGGAACGATCTTCGAATACGGAATCGCCGATTTTCCAAAACAACTACTAACGCGAAAAGTCGTGTTCAGTTTTAGCGATCTTTTAGGTATGTATTTATATATTTTTAATAATTTATTGCTGATAGTGAAATATATAATAAATATAGAAGCATCAGTAGCATTTTATGCGTTTTACGTAGTTATGGAATTTATTATATCTCCTTCGATAACTCAGGTTGTTGGGTTATAATTTAACCCTTGTAGCTGTGGACTGTATTAAACACTGATTTGTTTTGTATGGTTTATGTATTTGTTGCAGTTCTTATTACAATCACTGATTTGTCACTAATAATAAGTTATAATGAAAGAATATATATAGCAACCATCCCGTGTAAAAGCTCAATGCCATGAAGATTGTCACCTTCATGGCCAATATAATAAAATGAAAATACGTCCGAACAAGTATCTAAAAGATTTCATAAAAATTGGCGATTACCGCCACTATTTCCAATAAATCATAATAATATTACGTTTATACTAATATTTTGTCGGAATTTATTTATATTAATAAAACTTCTCATTTTATTCATATAAATCATATTTTTTTTCTACTTTAACGTTATTGTTTAGATAGTAATACAACTCAATGACTATCCTTTATAGTTGTGCTAGATTGATTTTTGTGTATTTTTACACTCTCCAATTTAATATATTTGAGTTTAATTTTTAATCTAAATGAATATATCACACATACCAAATTTGAACTTGGTACCTTGTAGTTGCAAGAGCAAGATTATACTCTTCGGCTAAAATACTGTTTACATTAACGTACATAAAAAATATCAGAATCGTATCCAAATATTTTAATAAAAATAAATTCCTTATTCTGCATTATGCGATGGACTTGATTTAAATTATTTTTAAAAATTTAACTCATGGTTTGATTACCCTTAAATATCTCAATCATATATGTGATTTTCCATAAGCAAATTTTGTTATGATAATAGTTCCTTATTAAGTTGACTTATGAAAAACTATTTATTTGCTAAAGGCAATTTTTATACATTAAATAAACTAGCTCTCAATTTATAATTTTTTATTTTATTTCAGTGTGCTTTGGCGGCATGTTTGGACTATTTTTAGGAGCAAGTATATTGAGCTTTGTCGAGCTTTTATATCTATTTACATTGAGACCTTTTTATCACTTCATGTTCGCTAAAAAAATAAGAGTCTAAAAATATGCACAATTTAATGTGTCATTTAAAATCATGTAATAAAATAAACTGTCAAATTTATCAGTGCTTAACGAAATTATTTTTTTAATTTTTAGTGATTTAATTCTTAATTATATTTTTTAAGCTACGCTCGTACAAGATTCTTCACATTGTAGTTTCATAAAATTTTATATTCTTTGTCGTTTTATCTTTCCTAAAGCTAATAATAATTTGTATTGAATAAACGGACTAGATTAGAACTAACAGAACTTTCACAGAAATATCTTAGAATTTAAGTGCAGACCTAAATTCTAAATAAATTTGTCAAAAAGTGAATGTTAGCATTGGAAAAAATCATAGTTATTATCACCATAAAATTATTAAAAATATGTTATTTTATGAGTATGTATAAATGTAATGTTATGTATAAAATAAAATATATACATTGATACAGAAACCTAGTTTAGAAAAAAGACTAATGCAACATTTTTAAGTTTTTGACTAAAATTAGTTTACAAAGTTCATTTAAAATGGATATTGAATATTCTTTAAGAAAAAAGTCAAAATTTAGTAATAAAAATAATTCATATTGCTAATTTGATGTGCAAGTGTACACATGTACACAATGAAATACATACAATAAAATACACAATTTTAACCACACTTTTAGCCTTTACGTTTGGATCAAACTTAACCAAAAACTACTTGAAAATAATATGTACATTCAAAATTACTAGAAAGTTGTATAATTCAATATAAAAGAAGATTTATTCTCATTCTTTCTAAATTTCAATTTTTTTGAGAAGTTACCAATAACATTTTCTAGCCGGCATTACAAGAGACCGTTTACACATTGATTAAAAGTTAAACTGGAGATCTCTGATCGACAACCAAAAATAAGCAAATAAAAATAAAGATTCAAGATTTATATTGAGTGATCAGAAAAAACCATGCTCTTGCTCGATAATGAAGTTATCGAAGAACTCTCTTACAATCTTAGAACTCCAATAGAAAAATCTCATAATGCATAGAAATTTTATACATACTCTACCGAAACCTCAGATGTTTGCCTTCATCTTTAACTTATGATTCAAAACTTCAAATCAATGTCCAATTACATCATACAACGAAAAATTGTCCTTACACAAAAATGCACTATCCGAAAGTTCATGAAAAAAAAACTCGAAAAAAAAAAATCATTATATAATTAAATACAAAAATAAATAGTCAGATAATAAAATAATGGGCGCGGGCTTAGATATCGTGTTATTATAGATCAACAATGCTTTATAATAATAGAAACTCAATATAGAAAAATACCCTTTTAACGCAGAATTTGTGCAGCGCTATTTTGGGTTAATTATTAATTCGCCCCGAAAATGTTTCAAAATATGGATAAAATCATAGAATTAGGCGACACAAATAAGTTTGCATAAGAATGAACAAATTAATGGACCGATTCTGCCGCATAACAGACAAATGTTATGGCAAGGCTATGTTATGCAGAACTTTCCATGTTGACAAAAGCCATGTGATTGCTGTGCAGTCAGGCGTTTTTCCCAGGTTGTCAGATAAAAAACTTAACCTATAAACCGTACGAATATCTAAAGAGCAATCTTTTTACAGGGCCTTTCTGTCCCAGCACTATAACACACAAGTGACGTTGCAGTTTATGTATAAAACTGCCTGAATTCATAGCAAATACATGACATTTGGACAAGATTTAGTATGATTCAAGAAGTTGGAGCGTAACATGCCCTTGCCATAACATTGGTCTCTTGTGCGGCAAAATCGGGCCATTGAATTTACACATTAATATTCACTAGCACCGTTCCTTTTTGATCATTGCTTTTATCTCGAACTAGCGAAATACTTATTTGAAAACAATATTGTTGATCAATCAGTTAAATATAAAATCTATATGACAATATTCTGACATGAATGAAACAAAAATATATTATTGCTACCATAGTAGCCTTGATAGGTAGATTTGATCCAAGTAACCGACTATGCAAACAAGAGACAACTAATAATTCTAAACCCATATCAAAATTTCTCAGTCCGTTGCCATCAATTATAATTTTTCAAAATTTCTCCGTAACATGATTTTTAATTAGTTCTTTTTTAAATTCATTAAATTTTATACACCACTTCAACATGAACATGTACTGGGCGCACCCAATGATGCAAAAGATATTTTTTACCATCAAAATGCTAGAAGAGCCAAAAGGTAAAATCAGTTAACATTAAAATATGTAACGATTAACATTATTTCATAATATTGAGTGAAATTGTAGGAGCCCTATGCAAAGATTTAGCAAAGATAATCGTATCTGAAAACAAAGCAAAGAACAATGGTGCAGTCTTGGGTCGTCTAAAAAAGACGATACGCAAAGGTGTCGAATTGGGATACCTCAAACGTACGCGTAAGTAATAAATTTTTGAATAATGTGATTCTTAATTAACTTCCCGAAGGAGAAGTTTATGTTTTCATCGTCAATTTTTCGTGTACGTTTTAGCCCGCAATTCTGAATCGATTTTGAAAATTCAAAAACCGTTCGAAAGATATTGGTTGGGAATCATGCTAATTGGTTTTTGGTAGATATCGGCCGGGCCGTTTTCTTGTAATAAGGTGTTAAAAAAATTTTTATTATTATTTTTTTGACGGTAGATACCATAGTCTTCTAGATCATACTAAAATATTACGGCCCTACGACAACTCGTTTAGCTTTAAAAATTCGTCAAAGTTTGCAAAAATTAGTATAGTCTTTTTGGCATTTGTCAAAATTAGAACTTTCATCGACGTTTGCTCAAAAACGCCTGAACCGATTTCAGAAATTTAAAAACTATTTGATGTATCTCGATGAGGATTATCGTTTCTCAGTTTTGTGCAACGACCGGCCGACCCGTTTCTTTGTAATTTGGAAAAAAATGTTAACTTTTCGTCTACATTTAAGCTCATACTACCGAATCGATTTTAAAAAGTCAAAAACTGTTCGAAAGATATTAGTTGGGAATGATACTGATTAGTTTTAGGTGAAAATCTACCGAGCCATTTTCTTGTAATCAGTGGTGTTGTCGAGCCGGAACGCGCCGGAACATAGTTCCGGCAAAAAAAAAATTTAAAAAATCGCTACATACAGAAAATATTTAATAAGTGAATTTTGTAAATTTTAATTCAATTAATTTTTATTAAATGTTCCTATTATTGTAATAAACATACATATATGTGCACAAAATAGGTTTTGTAATGATATTTGTTTCTTTCCTTTTCGAACGGAACCGGAACAAACATGAAAATCGGTTTTTGAACCGGTTTGTGAACCGTTTTTTTTAATTTTAGCGTTCCGGCAAAAAAAATATTAGCAACACCACTGCTTGTAATTAACTGTTGAAAAAAAAAATTAAACCGATTTTTATGGAATTTTTTTGGCGATATATATCATGGTCTTATAGAACTTACTGAAATATTACGGCCTTACGACAAGTAGTTTAATTTTAAAAATTCATCAAAGTTTGAGAAAATGAGTAGTTTTTTTGACATTTGTTAAAACTAAAATTAGACGATTTACTTGGTATAACGATGGAGTACTTGGTCTTAATGAACATACTAAACAATTAAAGTCCTACAAAAAACTGGATCAATTATAAAAATTATTGATTATTGAAAATTTGCTTTTAGAAAATACTCCGAGTCAAAGTGTTCGTTCGTTTTCAATTGTGTGTAATAAATCCACTCGGAATACTTTTAATGACTCATACATTTATTTATTTTTTATTGATTAAGTCGATTATTTAAATATATCGTGAAGTTCATGTAACTAGCCTCAAGGCAAAATACCAAACCAACTAGTTTTAATATTATTTTGGTAATCATACATTTGTAGAGTGTACGTTATTTGTTTTACCTTTTGTGTACCTCCAATTTGATTTTTTATAAATATTCTGCCATGAAAACTGAAATATTTTAGTAAATTTAGTAAAATTTTTACGTCCAATATTGCACATATTTCAGAAGGCAATCGAATTTCATTATGTGACGAGTTCCAAAAATACTACTTTTTGGAACCAGAGATGGTGCTGGCGGGCAGAGCGAGGCGCGCCCAAAAAAACATTAAAAGGCGAAAGTCACGGAGGAGTCCAAAACGAAGGCCAAAGCGCGGATCGAAGGCACCAAAACGCAGGCCAAAGCGCCGGTCAAAATCATCACAACGTAAAGGGAGAGGGCGCAGGCGTGGACGTTTATCCCGACGGGCCGGATCAATCCCATCTAAAAAATACCACCACTTAACTGCCGACATATCGACAAAGTCTCGGTCTACATCATCAACAACCTCTACAACATCATCAAGAACACACTCGAAAACACCTTTGAGAACACCATCGGGTACTTGTGCATACACCCCATCCTGGACACCATTGCTACGCCCAAGCCAAAATGCATTTATTAAACTTTTTGAAAGGCAGAAATACAACGTAGACGCTGAAAAAAGTTCTTCGCCTAGCCTCAAATCTTTTTTCTAATTTTCCTAAAAAATATCTGCAGTAAAATAAAGTTTTTTGTATTTAGTTTTTTAAATTACGTACGCATGTGTTGAATTCGTATAATTTTTAAATTGCCATTAGATTGACTCGAGAACACTAAATTTATAAGCTGTCGTGTATAAAACTGTTGACAAGCACTAATATGATTTTCAAACAACACATGATGTGAGAATAAGAAATTGTTAATAAAACTCTGGTCACTTAAGTGATAAAATTAACCATGACTTTTTTTCAAATTAGTAGTAAATGATGAGTAAATTTCACCTATGACATGAATATTTCGTATACATCGAGAATGTTTGAAATCGATAATATGTGTCTATGTACTGCAAACCACTTTTGAAGAATTTTGGAATCTTGAATTCTATTAATTCATAAAAAATTTCGATATTATCAAACTACATAACAGAGCACTTTACAAAATCAATCCAATGTAGTTAATTTAATAGTTTAATAAAGTTTGAAAACACGTAATGAAACTAATTAAATGGAAATGGCATAATTGTGGAAGTTAGTATAAACTTTCTTCATTATTGTGTAAAATATCAAATCGGTACTATCTGGTACTTAAAATCGATGCTGATGTTATTTAGAATCGTTTAAGGTAAATGCTCAAAGCAAAACCTAAAAACATATAAGTATCAGTTAGATTTTTTCATATTATTGCCTAAAACATTTTTAAAAAGATAAAAAATTGGAGGAAGAATGGCGCCTAGTACTCTTAATCTCAGATCAACTTTCTTTTAAGTATGAGTTACTAAAAATATGATTTTTTGAATAACACCTAAAATAAAATAGTGATCTCTTAAAGTATCTAAGAAGCTTGATCAAATTATTATTAAAATATACAGAATATACTTATTATATTATAAAAAAATTATTAACTGTGAGTGCTAAGAAAGGAGATGTACGAGTACCTGTCCATTAAGCTACAGGCGTTATTGGTAACACCCACTTGACGTTTTCTATTTTGAGCAAAAGTTGGAATATTGTGTTTAGTCGTCATTTGTATTTCTCAAAATCGTAATAATTAAAAAAAATCTGAATTATACCGTCAGGGATATGAAATTTTAAACAAGTACGATTACGCTGCATGATCTTCGAAGTTTGAATATAAAACTTCTGACCTAAATAAATTCTACCAATTAATATGCTTAAAAGATTGTCAAATAAATAAAATAATTAATCATTAGCAACCAAAAAAATTCAGAATTATGTTCTTGCTATAATGGAATTACAATAACTACAATTGAGTCTGATATAATAATGAAAACTTTAGCAAATTTAAATATTTCTGTACGCAACTATAAATAGTTCTATTTAGCAGTACCAGATGTTGTGATTTATAATCATCAGACAAAATATAGCCGGAGTACGACTTAGGCAGCAACTTTAGCAACTTTATCTTGAACGAGATGCAAAAATTATTATGAGACCTACTGAATAAAACGAATGCCGAACGAATATTTATGATTTTGATTTATGAACGAATGATTATGAGACCTACTGAATAAAACGAATATTCCAACACAATAATATCTACCGGCACCGTTCATTCGTGATTATTGTTATTAATATTATTGTTTCTATATCAAACTAGAAAAGGGCTAATTGAACTGTTGATCAATCAATTAAATATAAATTCCATATTATAATATTTTGACATCCATAAAACAAAAACATAAAAATGCTACCATAGTGCCCTTGATAGGTAGATTTGATCCAAGTAACCGACTATGCAAACAAGAGACTATTAAAAATTTTTAACCATTTAAAACAAATTTCTTTTTTCCAAAATTCCTTTTTTACATAATATGGTTTTGTAAGTTTATTTTTTAATTTCATCACTTTTTATAAAAAATAATAAAATGGAAGAGCATTGGAAACATCCCCTGATGAAAAAAGTGCTTCCTGCTATAATGACATTAAGCGAACCTGACGGTAAATTCGTTATAATTAAAATATGTAACAATTACAATAATTTTATAATACTGAGTAAACTTGTAGGAGCGAAATACACGGATATGGTACGGATAATCGAAGCAGCTGGAGATAATAATAATGTAATTGTCATGAAAGATTTCTTAAAAAAAACTGTCCACAAGGGATTAAAACAAGGCTACCTTGAACGTACGCGTAAGTAATAATTTTTTTAATATTATCATTATTTATGATATTATCTAAATAATCATACGCCTGTAGAGTGCATGCAATTCACTTACTTCACTATATCGTATATTGTCTCATTAGTTTTATTTTTTGTGCACTTTGATTTTTGTCTCGTCCAATTATTTTCCTGCTGAACGTTTACTATGAAAACTGAACCCACATGTTACCTAAATAGTAAATAGTAGTATTGTTTGATAATACAAGAGACTGGGTGTGGTTGTGTCACCTTTCTTTTGATCAGCCATAATTTTGTTAGTTTATTAGTTAGGTGAGAGGAATGTAAATTAGATGTAAAAACTGTCCTTAAATACGCTGTATTAATCATGAAAACTGCAATTTTTTGCATATTTAGTTCTGTATCTCCCAAACGGCTGAACCTGTCTTTGCCAAAAACTAATCACCACTTCTCTCCATCATTATGAATAGGATGTTTTCTGGATCATTTAAATAGGATTTTCTATTTTCTCAAAAACTTAATTTTCATTTTCTGCACTCAATGCTTCTTATCTCAGAAACTAATAAGCACGTATCCTTATCAATAGGAATCGAATGCTTTTTAAAAATTTCAAATCAGTTGATCCGCGCTACCGAAAACGAGAACGAAAAATTGGATCCACACACACACATATCAATTTTTTCTTTGTCTATGCCAAAATATTGAGAAACCTCTCAAACGTGAAGATACGCAATCATTTTCATTCTAGATTTTTGGAATATTACTATAACTTACCCTATGCGAAGTTGATAAAGCATATGTTTTGCTAAATTCAACGCTATGTATAATCAAATATAACAATATATAACTAAATATAATTTTTTAAGCCAACTTAACAAGAATTCTTTGTAAAACCTTGTTTTTCGAGTATTGAATTTTCCTTTCTCATTTTCTTTAGTATTTTGTTCTAGTTAAGTTAGATTTACAAGATTTTTAAATTATGCAGATGACTGTCATCACCGTACCCAGTCTCCCCTTCTACTGTAGTACATGTCCGAATTGTAGTGAAAATTATTTTTACACCCTTTTTAGGTGAGAACCGGCTAATATTAAGCGACAAATTTCTGAAACGAGGATACCTTTTGGAACCAAGGACGGTGCTGGCGGCCAGGAAAATGCGGGCTAAAAGGTACCTTCTTAAGATAGAAAAACAAAAATTTCTGAAAAGCTTGAAGTGGAGGCCGAAACGTTTGTCACATGTACAAAAGCAAAAAGGACCACGCAGGGGTAGACGTTTATCCCTACGTGAACGTTCACCAAGAAGCCTATCTCGGACTACGCCTCCCCGACGGACCCCTTCGCCATGGAGGACCCCTTCAAGGACCCCACCAAGGAGATTATCGCCAAACCTGTCCCGAAGCGCACAAGAAATAATGGATTGTTTGAGGAGAAACAACTACAACCTACTGCGACGATGAGCCTAAACAAGTTCTTTGTCTCGTTCCAAACCGTTCAAGTTCTCTAAAAAAAATTCTGCAACTATAAATACTTTTTTAAAAATAGAACTGGAACGATATACGATTTCTAAATTGCATTTCATATACTTCAGTTCATGTAATTTAAAAGCTGTCGTGAAGCCTTTGATGTTCATACAATGCTCGTACTCAGAATCAATATTATATGATCGTTACAAGTTTTATCCAAAACTCTTTTATTAAACTAGTGGTAGATACTAATGGATTTCGTAAGTTCCTGACCTGCCAGAACTTAGAAAAGAGACTCAGGCAACATGAATTACAATGTGAAAAAATAGATAACAAAAAATTTAAAAGTACACTTGTGGATCATGCTAATATCAACAACCATAAGTTTGATTTTGACAATCCCCAAATTTTATTCCATGAGAAAGACTTATTTAAACGGAGCATGGCAGAATCAATGTTAATAGTTCGGACTAACAATAGCATAAATCTAAGAACCGACACAAATATTTTACATGACACTTATATAAACATCATTAATAATTTATAAATTTTTTCATTTATCTTATTCTTTTCAATAAATTAATTTGTTTTTTCATTTTTATCGATTTTGTATGCGATAGCACTCCTTTTGTTTACATTATAATGATACCCTCTCTGTCTCCATCTATATAAGTACTTCAAATTTGTTTAGAATATTTCTGTAAGTGTTATACAAGTATGTTTCTTTAGTACTGTGTCAAGCATTGCAAGGAATAGTTGGTGTTTTTTTGTATACCAAAAATTAAATGAAATTTAAATAAATTATTAAAGAATGTGTAGTATATAAGTAACTGTTTTTGAAATTACACTGAAGATGAGACACACCATGGTCTCGAAACGTCTGTAATCATAAAATAAAGTTGTGTTAAACAAATCTGAGTGCTGTTTTGTTCATATTAAACAATTAATATTCGTTCCACTCATATCATAAAATTCTATATATATATATATATATATATATATATATATATTTATTATATATAAATTTTATATATAATTTATTATATCTATTATATTTATTCTTATATAATCTCTATAAAAGCTTACATGTGGGTGGGGTAAATAGGACCAACTAATCTTTTACCTTAGCAAAGGTGTAAACAATATAAAATAGTAAACAAAAAAATAGGTAAAGTTAAAATAAAATAAAATTTACCAAAGGTAATATAAATAAACTGTTATTCCAACATTGCTTATAAATATTTTTGACAAAATACCAGATCATGATTATATACAGTGTTATCTTTGTAAAACATGTACCCATTAATTATATATTTTGCATTAATTAATTAATGTACCTAATATTTCGTAAAATCCCTTCAAAAGTACGACCTGTTTGTCACTTGGCCATC